CAAGACCATGCCCCATTGGGGGGTGCTTTCTCTCTCTCTCTTTTTTCTCTGGTGAGTACACATGCTCTCTGGAAGAAAAAAAGAGAAGGACATTTGGACACATACTACAACATGGATGAACCGTAAGACATCACGCTACAGTGAGACAGGCCAGACGCAGAAGGCCAGATACTGCACGATCCACTTCTGGGAAGTGCCTGGGACAGTCCGGAATTGGATGGCGGCTGCACAACTGGGGCGAGTCCTGGGAGCTCCTGTTTAATGGTACGGAGCTTCGGCTTGGGATGCTGAGCGTTCTGGAGACGGATGGTGGTGACAATTGCACGACAATGCGAGCGACCTTCGCCCCACGGAAATGTATACCTACAAGTGGATAAGATGATCATGTGTGATAGTTTACCACCATTTTCTCTTTTTTAGTTTAGTTTTTGCTATAGGTGTGCGCTCATCAGAGAGAAAGAGAAAGTGAGGACTCACCTCCCGGGGGGATAGCCATGCTGTAAGCCCTTCTCCTCCATTCTCCTCTTCGATTTCGGGCTGCATACACACGTGACCTGCGTGAGCTTCAGGCTGTCAGGTCTGGGACTAGAAGCTCGCAGCTGACCGTGTGGGATCCAATGCCTTAATCACCATGCCACCTACTGGCCCGTTTTATCACATTAAAAAAAACTCACACTTTAATGTTATCCACCTTGATGACCGGGCGGCTGGTCCTGGCTCGGCCGCACCCCTACCTCACTCACGGAAGATGACGGAGGTGACAGTGCTGAGAGGGTGAAAGTCTGGAGCACGGGACATTCCCGACAGCTGAATTCTCACTCTCCAGCCAGGATGTACGCGTGGAGTTCTGAGGCCAGCTCTTGGTGTAAGAGCAGATCTCAGTGGCGTTGTGTGCTTAGGTCTGTTGCTGGCCCCTGGAGCAGGGTGGGATGGGCTCTCTGGTGAGGCTGAGTGGCCGTGGTCGTTTCCAGACCCAGCCAAGGAGGGACAGACCAGCAGCCACCCCGTGGCCTTCCTGTCGGCGGTGCTGCACGTACCTGTGGGAAGAAGACGCCTCCCTGCTGGCTGGCCACAATGTTCGTTGGCGTTGGCTCCACCTCACTTTGCTCCATTGTCTCTTCTCCACAGAAGCTGGCACAGGTGCCACCGCCGGCTGGCTGCCACCCTCTAGCCTTTTGTCTGCATTGCTATCCCCGGTGCACATAAGCCTCTCCCCGAAGAGTCGAGACTCTGGAACAGCAAGTGCATTCTGCTCAGTGGATTCCGCTCAGAAGTGATTCTCCTGGCCAGACATGGGCGTCCACGGGGAAACACACACCGATGCCACGCTGCCACTGGACAGTGAAAGCCACAGCAGACGCTAACAGCAGCCGCCAGCCTGGTCTTTGCAGGATGAAGTCACCTGCTTTCCTTACGAAGGGTGGCCCCGACTCCTCGGCTGCCTAGGACTTCCATTTCTTGTTCTCTCTTACCGGGAGCAAGTTTGTTCCCAGACTCAATCTCTGCATCTCTGGGCCAGGCCCCTGCCATTAGCTGAGGACCCCTAAAGCTGCTGTAGCCTTCCCCAGGCCTTGCTTGCCTCCTGTCTTCCCCTGCCTCATCTACCCCGGAAGCTCCTACCCTTTGGCTTCTGTGGTTTTGATTCTTGGCATCATCTCAATATCATCCAGTTCTCTTTTAAAAAGATTTTTAGGGTGTGAGCACTTGCCAGAGACAGTGAGAGAGGAAGGGGGAAATCAACCCCCGGGGGGATGGCCATATCACAATCCCTTCTCCTCCATTCTCATCCTGGGATTTGGGGCACACACACACACACACACACACACACACACACGGTGTGATGTTCAAGCCTCCAGATCCGGGACTTGAGCCATCGTTGGACAGGTGGGAGTCCAGTGCCTTAACCACTATGCCACCTGCTGGCCCCTCATGTAGTTCTCTTTTACCTTCCTGAATTTCCTAACCACAGGCCAGACTTTGTGCTCAGGTCCCAACTCTAAAGCAGGATTATCCTTTATCTAGAGGGTCTGGCCTGGGCTTGGAGGGACAGCTGGGGCACCTGAGTACATTGCAGCATGCCATCCTGCCTCTGAGCGGCTCTGTTCCCAGGCTCCCCTGCTGCCCCTCCAAGCCCATACCAGACTCTAGATAAAGGAAGAATCTTCACAAATCCTGCTATGGCCGGACCCAGTCACCTCCAGACTCTCGCTCCTCTCTTCTAAGTTGTTGTAGGCCAGGGAATGTTGAAAGAAGGAACAAGTATCTGCCCCCCACTTTACAGATGGGGAAGGCAAGGGGTGCGTATGCTGGTTGATGAGCGTGTAGTTTTATGGCGGGATGGGCTCGGCCAGCGGTTTCCATTCAAGGCCAGATAGTAAACAGCTTCCGCAAGGTCTCTGTCGCAACTGCTCATCACTGCTGCTGCAAGAGCCGCCACAGAGGGACGAAGCTGTGTGCCAATGCGCTGTGAAGGACACTGAGAAACAAATTTAGTATGAAGGCACGCATGCACTTGAGTAGGAGAGAGAAGGAGAGAGAGAAAGTGTCTTCAGCAGCGTCTCATCGCGGTGCCACCCCTCTTCCCGAGCCCTCCAATTCCTCAGGGTCCTAAGCACCCACACAACTGCCTGGGGTGTCTTCAAACCTGGACATCTGAACCTGCTGTCAACCATATGGCTTCCAGCCCTGCGAGGCACTTGCATTACTGCCGCGTGCATATTATGTAATTTTCACTTGTGAGGCCAGGCCGTGGTATGGTGGGTAAGGCAGCTGGATTTGACAGGGCTGACTGTATGGTTCGAGTCCCAGACATGGGAGTTTGAAAAACACACCAGGGATGTGTGAGAGTGTGCCCAAAACCCTGAAAGGAGGGCAAAATGGGGAAGGGATTGTGGCACAATTATGCCTCATTAGATGGGGGAGGGTGTTTTCTCATTTTGTCTCTCTCTCTCTTTCTCTTTCTCTCTCTCTAATGAACACGTGTCCCCTTTGGCAAAGTTTATTTATTTTTTTACATGTCATGGGATAATTCTTCTTTTGATTTATTTTAACCCTTTTTTATTTTTAGAGATTTTAGCTATAGGGCACATGTGCTTGTTGAAAAGACAGAAAGAGACGGGGTGACAGAAAGTGAGAAATCACCCCCTAGGGAAGATAGCCAGGCTGCAATCCCTTCTCCTCCATTCTCCTCTCGGAATTTTGGGCACACACGCACATGCACTTGGTGTGAGTTTAAGTATGCCAGGTCCGGGACTTGAACTGCAGTCGACTACGTAAAAGTCCAGTGACATAACCATTACGCCATCTGCTGGTCCTTCTGTAACCATTTTAAACTGTGAAGAACACTCTTTATTTGCAGGCCATCCGGTGAGGGGCCACAGGCCAGGTTTGGTCTGCAGCTGTGCTTTGCTGACTCCTGCTCCAAAAGAATGAGTTCTATTCAGGACCCCTGTGCTCAAGTCAAGGAACTCAGGGTCCTCTCTGTCAGTGGTCCGACTATAATTTTTGTGTTTTTCTTTTTTTTCTTTCTTTCTTTTTTTTTTTTGAGAGGTTTTTGCTATAGGGCACGTGCGCTCGCCAGGCAGACAGAGAGAGACAGAGAGACAGAAAGAGAGCAATCACCCCCCAGCGGGGATGGCTACGCCACAATCCCTTCTCCTTCATTCTCCTCTTGGGATCTTGGGCACACACACACATGCGCCCGGCATGGGTTTTAAGCCACTGGGTCTGGGACGCGAACCGCGGTCGACTACATGGGAGTCCGGCGACATAGCCATTACGCTAACTGCTGGTCCCTCTTTTTTTTTTTTTTTAATTTATTTAGATTTGTCTTTCATGAAAGAGGGAGATGTAGAGAGAAAGAGAAACAGAAAAACAGCACCCCCAACAGGGTCCCACACCACAATCCACCCCCAATGCCAGCCAGGCCTGGGTAATGGGCACATACACACCCCGTGTGCTCAGGAAGGTCTTCTGGATATGAACCCAGAACCCTCCCACGTGGCTCATCTTCGCGGAGTGTTTTGTTACCCCTGCACCACCGACCAGTCCCCAAGGACTGTTTCTGGAGACTAGGTGAGTACTGTGGGGTTTTGGAAGGCAGAGGAGTGTGAACCACCACAAGGCTCGGGGCCTTGAGTGTCTAACTGCTAAGCCCTGCTTCCTGACATTCTTTGCAGCAAAAATTGGCATCGGAAATCGGACACCCGCGGCTGGGTAGCTTTAGCTGCGCTGGCACCAAATGCTTAGCGTGCCTGGCTCCAGAAATAACCCCTCCTATTTTTAACACCCTTGCCTAATCAGAGGGTATCTCCTCCCCCATGAAAACAATCCCAGCGCTCAGGACACAAGCTGGAGTCCAGAACCTCAGGGCTGTACTGTCTCACACTCATCCCCATTCCTCACGCCCAGGAACCTCCCTTCTTTGCCCCTTTGGGGTCAGCAAGCCCCTGGGCTGTGGCCAGGAACCCAAGCAATTTCCATGTAAGGCGCTAGCAGGGAAAAAGCAGGTTTTCTGGGAACTTTTATTTCAAACCGCTGTCTACCCAATTAAAAGGCTTCTCAGGGCTCTTGGAAACGAAGGAGAAATACTCAGTCCGCGGAGAGAGTGTGTCTTGTCACTAAGGAGAGAGGGACTGGTTATGTACACAGGTGACACCAGAGGTGGTAAAGGACCGCAGGGAGCCCCCTAAGGTTTATAAAGGACATCTAGCACCAACTCGTCAACGCCACGTGGCCCCGCGGGGACAACCTGGAGCTTCAGCAGAGGGTCGGCCTCTGCCCACTGCTGCCCTGCCTCCCTGTGGCATGGACCACAGGCAGGTCTGGACTCAGGCCCACCCGCTCTGTTCTCAGAAGAGTATATCACAGCCCAGAGAAGGGCTCAGAGTAGGGGAGCAATCCGCAACAGTCCCGGTGCGGGCAGGGGAGAGGACAGATACAAAACTCCTGCCTCTCCCCCGGAAGGTTCTGGGCCACTGGGCGCTGGGGCCCCAGGAGGGCTAGTGCTCCGGCTCCGCGTCCATGCAGGACTCCCAGGGGTTCTGGGGCATACGAGGCAGAGAGAAGAGCAGCAGGGCAAGGCCGCCGAGGAAGAGGAGGACGAAGGCCGCACAGGCGCAGGCGAAGGACCAAGAGTAATAGTACTCGATCCACACGGTGTCCTCGCTGTCGATCATGCGCTTCACCGACTGTCGCATGACCTCCACCGAGACGAAGATGCAGAGACCTGCGGGGGGGGCCG